ACTCACTGTTAGCACTGACAAGGGTGGAGGGTTGGGGGGTGCAGATCTGGCTCGGGGCTGCAGCATGACTGACAGGTGTCAGGGGACCAACACAGCCAATCAGCATCTGGTGTCGTTAGCCACCAGAATTGTACTCCAGTAAAAGCTGATTAAAGCCAGAGCAGACAATTACTGGGCGTATGCGTGTGTGTGTGTGTGTGTGTGTGTGTGTGTGTGTGTGTGTGTGTGTGTGTGTGTGTGTGTGTGTGTGTGTGTCTCTCTTATGGATGTGCATGTGGGTGTGTGTATGTGTGTGTGTGTGTGTCTCACAATTCTGGATGTTCATCAGGGGAGACAGCAGTGTTTTTAGCTTGTTTAGCTGCAGTGCTAAACAGCTCTCTGGAAGACTGCAGAGCCCCAGTCATTAGCCTCATGATAGCCTAGCGTTAGTGTAGCATAGAGCTGAGTGTGTGTTTTATTTATGCTGTGTGTCTGTGTGTCTGCAGAGGACATCAAACCATCCTCATCCTGTTACTGGAGGACAGAGTGAAGGACAGGTGTCAGGCACTAGCTGCCATCTGTGGGTCATTACACTTCTGGATGGGACCAGCATGCTAACCATTAGCCTAGCGCTCCAACAGCTAACTGCTATCTCTGTCCCATAACTCAGAATGGAGTGGCTGCTGTCTGACTAGCTAACAGCTAATTTAGCAGTTAAATGCAGTCCACCACTCAGAGCTCAGCAAAGACACACAGGTCCACATGGCTAATGGCACTAACCGCTAATACTTAACATACACTTTTCACAATAAAATGGTATGGAATACCTTTCACAATAAAATATCATGAATACCTTTCAAAATAAAATGTCACAATACCTTTCAAAATGAAATGCCTGTCAAAAAAAATCTACTCTAGACCTTTCAAAATAAAGGTGCTTAATAAAATAACACTAAATGAACTTCTACGCATACTCACACATTTAATAATAAAATGCACTCTATGGCTTTTAAAATTAAATTTACCTTCAAAACAAATGTTTTCTTCAGCTTTTGAAATATAACAGTACTCAACACCTTTCAAAATAAAGGGTACAAGACATCTTTCAAAATCAAATGATACATAAAAACAACATACTCTATTTGTCTCTATTTCTAATTTCATTTCTTAAACAAACAAACCTTTGACAGGGAAATGATGGAGAACGCTTCAAAAACAACAATACTCATTACCTTTCAAAATAAAAGAGAACGGAACACTGTTTATATTGGGAGTACTGGACACCTTAAAGAATAAAACCCTCTTTTGCACATTTAAATGTAACTTATACCCAGTACCTTTTAAAGTAAAATACACTACGTTTTCTTACCTTTAGTCGCCACTCGCACGCAGTCGATCTTTGTCTCCTGTTAAAGAGAGAAGCAAATTAGTTTCCTGTCAACACAACTATTAACTGTCATGTCTGGACACTTTCTCCAGGAACACACACACACACACACACACACACACACACACACACACACACACACATTTGTCGTAAACAGAGCGGACAGAAGGCAAATGGCTGTGGATCAGTGCCTGTGCTGGCATTTAACAACTGATACACACACATCCACACACCTAAGTGCGCACACGAATGCACGCACACACGCACACACACAGGTTATGGTGAAAGGCTAGATAGAACATCTTGTGTCTTTCTGGTTTTAACAAACAGACGACAATTAACCACAAGAGCTCATGAATATTCATGCTCACACACATGCACACACACACACACGCAGCAGCAGCAGTGGTGTATCTCTGTGGTGTGGCGACAGTAAAAAGCACTACTGTTGCTGCATTATTCAACACACACGTCAATTAAACCTCCCAGCGTCAATAATTAAAACACAACACAATACAATTTTCGTGTGTGTAAAAGGGAACAATTATCTTCTTTTACACACATACATGACAAAACACACACACACACACGCATACAAACACACACACACACACACACACACACACACACACACGCATACAAACACACACACACACACACACACACACACACACACACACACACACACACACACACACACACACACACACACACACAGCTCCCACAGCAGCCTATTAGTGTCGCTGGTCAGGCTGCTGGAACTATCTCCACTCCTATTAAACTGTGTGCGTGTGTGTGCGTGTGTGTGTGTGTTGATATCAGTGTGTGACCTCTCTGTCTTGGTTTCGCTCCTCTGATTTTTTATGACAGGGAGAAAAAAGTGGAGGAAATTGAAGGAAGTTTGGAGCAGAGGAGAATAATGTGGAGCCTTTGTTAAACAGACGAGTGTCACTCTGAGCTGCGACAGAGACGAGGTCCAGCTCTGTTGAACACTGTGATTGGATGTCTCCTCTCTGATCAACACTGGTTCTCTACACCACAGGTTTCAGCTCATGGACCATACTCAGGTATTTTAAACCAACCAGTCAAAACTCAGTTGACTCATAATCTCTAAACACATATTAAGTTAGATTGAAGACTTACTGTGATGTCCATGGTGAATAAACGTCTGTGAATCCACAAGAGAACAAAGACTCGTTTCTGCAGCTCACAGCTGATGCCCTGAAGCTCCACTTCAAGCTCATTAAAAGAAACCAGCGTGGTTTACTCTGTGCTCACTCTGTGGTTGTTACTGTGACATCCACTTACACTAACCTTAACTAACTAGCTGCCTAAACTTAACCATAGTGCTCTAAGATAAAAACACTGATATGTAGCTGAAATAAAGTAAGACATCAAAGAATAACTAGGATCTCCGTCAGTCAGACTAGCTCCAGCTGACGTCCTATTTATCCAGTCATTGAAAATATAAAATATGAATGTGTGTGAAACTTGCTGTGAAGTCTTCAGTTATGACTAAAAGGTGTTTCTGAGGTCACACTGACCTTGACCTTTGACCTTTAGCCATCAAATTCTAATCAGTTCATCGTTGAGTCCTGCTGAATGTTTGTGCCATGTGAAGACATTCTGTGAAGGTGTTACTGAGACATTGTTTCCATGAGAGTGAGACACACAACCTGAAAACAAAATGGCCGCTGCTCTGACTGTCGCCAACATGGAGGAGAAATAAAACATCAATCATGTCATGTTTACTATGGTAACGACCTCTGACAGGTGAGGGATCCACACTGCAGTCACATCATGACATGACAGTATGTGTTACCTTTGCACAGGCGAACTCACCCCATTAGCCGTGCTGACAGCCTGATAGTAGATCCCATAACTCTTATGAGGCAGCAGAGGAGTGTTCCAGTAACCGCTGTAGGTCCTGTTATCACCTATACACACACACAGGTTAACAGGTGAGCAGGTTAACAGGAGAACAGGTTAACAGGTATACAAGGCAACTAACTGACCACACAGGACTTCACTTCTAGAAATCACAATATCGTTTCACTAACTAACTAACTAACTAACTGGTAGATTAATAAACAAACTGATTTATTCATTTACTCACCTGCTTATTTTACTAACTCCCTATAATAATTGACCAACTAACCAACTAATTGTTGAACATACAAGCAAGTCAACCAAGAACTAACTACCATACTAGTTAGCAGGCTGTGTGACTGACCAACACAGAAGGGCATGGGCGCTCTCAGCTCGCTCATCGGCAGCTCTGCGCTGAAGTAATACTGAGAGTTGAGCAGCGTGGCGTTCTGGAAGTGAATGGGCACCGGATAACAGCGCAGGATCTCTGCAGTTCCTCTCCTCTGCCTGCGGGGGCGCTCCTCCTCCACCACCACCTGGTACTTACTGCACACAGAGAACAGACAGCGTCACCTTCAGCTGTGTCTGATGTCACCAACAGATCAACCAATCACAGTTTATTATGTGTGTGCACCATTTCTATCAGGGATAATGACATAACCTCAAGACATCACATCATGAGTAATAATGACATCACATCATGAGTAACAATGACATCACATCATGAGTAATGACATCACATCATGAGTAATGACATCACATCTTGACTTCACATCCTCTGTAATAATGACATCACATCATCTGTAATAATGACATCACATCAATCAGCCAAAACGGTTTTAGTCAGTCTTAGCTAACTAGTATGTATAAAGCAGTTGGTTAGTTAGTTAGTTAGTTAGTTAGGTAGTTAGTTAGTTAAGCTGTCAGCTGGTTAGCGAGCCAATTAGTATATAGTCATTCCATCAATAAGTTTGTTAACTAAATGTTATGTTGGGCAGTTGGTTAGTTAGTTATTAGTCAGTTAGCTATCCAGGTGCATTATGGGACATTAGGGATCCAGAAGAAAGAACGCAGAACAGTTTGCGCTTTGAGTTTAGAGGTGTGTCTGTGTTGGAGAATATTGACTTGATTTCCATTCACATACAACCCTGACACATCAACCACCTCCTGTTCTTCACCCATCTGCTGTGTCATTATTCAGCCCCACAGAAAGGTCAGCTCTGCCTCTTCTCCACTCCATCACCCTCTCCTTCATTTTATTAACTCCCTGTCTCTGTATGTCGAGGCTGTAACTTTATAACAGTCTGATCATTCCTTTCACCCAGTCTGTGCTGGCATTAAATCCTGTGTGTGGGTGAAATACATAAAGACACCAAACAAACGGAAACAAAGAGTTAGAGCTCTGAATTAAAAAAACATCTTTACTTCTTCCTGTTCACAAGTCCAAAAACGGATTCCACCTTAAAGGATGGAGAAACACCAGCGATCTAACAGTTTGACAGAGGACAGGAGTTGTATCACAAATGGTGCTCGTTACCACGGTGATTTAAAGCTTCTTGACAACCTCCGTTATGGAGCTCATTAAAGTTTGTTGAGTAAAAACTCTGCTGAAACTGAGTTTCTGCTGAAACTCTGCTGAAACTCTATTGAAACTCTACTGAAACTCTGCTGAAACTCTGCTGAAACTCTACTGAAACTCTACTGAAACTATTGACACTCTATTGAAACTCTGCTGAAACTCTACTGAAACTCTACTGAAACTCTGCTGAAACTCTGCTGAAACTCTATTGAAACTCTGCTGAAACTCTATTGAAACTCTACTGAAACTCTACTGAAACTCTACTAAAACTGTACTGAAACTCTGCTGAAACTCTATTGAAACTCGACCAACACTGGGATTTTTTTAAGCTTAAAGACAAAAACTCTAATCAACTCTCCAGAAACTCTAATGACACACACAAACTCTTAAAAATCTCCTCCAACTTTAAAGAAATTCTTTGGACTCTACAGGAACTTTTAGGCTGTAGAAAAACATAAAAAATTCTTCAAAATCTCACTTGTTGCTCTACAAATTCCACTGACACTACGAGAACATTATCCACTCCTCTCCAGAACCTAAGGACTGAAACTCTACAAAACACTTGTTACTATAAGAATTCACCCACTCTACAGAAGCTCGACCATCTTCACAGAAACTCCATCGACTCTCTAAAGATTCTCCAGATACTGGATCTACTAAGACCAAACACACTCTACTAATGGTTCTACTCTACAGTCAGTCCATCAACTCGACCAGTTCTATGGAAACTACACTGACTGTGGAAAGTGTTGGTGCTCGATAAGAACTCTACAGACTCTGCAGAAACTCAACTCCATGAAAACCTTTACATGGTCAACAACGTTCCTACTGTTACTGTGATCTGTTGTTTCAGGACAACAAAGAGCAGCAGAGGGTCACTTTCGGTTTTCCACCGCCAAGCGTCAGAGTTCATACAGAAACACCTGCACCTGAACGCAACACTGTGACTTTTCAATGGTGGTTGTGTCCTCAGGGACATTGGAAACAATAGTTTTGTTTTTCACAGGAACCAGGCTCAGGAAAGAAGTAATATATCACCACACACACACACACACACACACACACACACACACACACACACACACACACACACACACATATGAGGGCGTGGATAGTGAAACTGCTGCATTGTCACATTTCCTGCTGGACAGGAAACTAAAGGAGGACAGGAAGAGACATAAAACACACACACACACACACACACAGACACACAGACACAGACAGACACACCCTGCAGTATCTGTTTAATTCCCACAAAAATGAACAGAAAGACAGATTCAATCATCTCTCTGTCTTCCTCCTTCTTTCTCTTTCTTTTCTCCTCCTCTTTCTTGTCGTCCCCTCTTCTCCCCCTCACATCTGTCTCTCTCTCTTTATCTCTTTTCTCCCTCTCTCTGTCTTTGACAAACCATCTCCAATCACATTTCTTCACGCTCATCTCGCAGCACTTGTTGTGTGTGTGACAGTAATCTGATTACAGCTGCAGGTTGCCTGCAGCAACACCTTTTGTCCTGCGATCTGAGGCTCTTATACACCAGTATGTGTGTGTTGTATAGTGTGTGTGTGTGTGTGTGTGTGTGTGTGTGTGTGTGTGTGTGTGTGCACGCCTGAAGGCCGACACACACTCTGGTGTCAGAGCAGACAAAAGCAAAGTTAAATATAAACACACAAACATGAAATCGTATCTCAGAGGAGCATCTGTTCAATCTGATGGATTTCACTTCAGCTATCATGTCAATTAACACACTGTTCATCACACACAGACACAGACACAGACACACACACACACACACACACACACACACACACACACACACACACACACACACACACACACACACACACACACACACACACACTCCTTACATCCACACTCTTGTTCTTGCATATAAAGAAGAACATAAATCTGGATTCGGTTGAATGATCCGTTTCCTGCTTCTTCTTTCTTGTCGTTTTCTGAGTTGACGTGTGTTTTATGTTTTATTGATTCTTTAACTGAGGAACAGAAACAACACAAGCTGTAAGAACCTTCCTTTGAGTGCGCTTCCATCACGACCGTGGAGAGGAGGAGGCTGCTCACAGAGATGCAGTCGGCCTTACGGTGTACTAACAGGAAACATGTCTGAGTGAGTGCACCAAACTTAAAGCTTCATATAGTATAAAGGTATGATTGGTTATAATGATTATTGATTGATTATAGATCAGGTCTAGGTTCTACATTAATACTGTGAAAGTATCAAAGCCTCCGTCCACAGAGAAATGCACACAGCCTGTATTCAGAAACTGAGCCTGACCAGCTGTCAGGACTTCTGGAACTTTGTGATGTCACAACAAAGCAGTCACCAAGCCCCGCCCACCTGTCAAACCTTGCAGGATTTGGTTTCTCTGAGTGTTTTACCCACAAATCTGCTATATTTTTATTGGATCACTCAGAAAACAGTCAGCCAATCAGAAGAGAGGCTCCGAGCCTCACTATAAACACACCGGAAATACTAGCTAGCTTCACAGCATTAATGCTACAAACTGTCCACAATGCATCACACTCTGTTGAAGACCATGTTATTCTGGTACTGTCTCCTAATGAATGTAGTTTACAGAAGCAGATGTGCTGTGTTCAATGTGTGTCGGATCAGCAGGACAGAGGTGGAGTCATGTCTGACTGTCAGGAGACAAACATCAGCAGCTCTGAATGAAGGGAAACCACTCTGTTTGTTTGTGTTTGTGTGTGTGTGTGTGTGTGTGTGTGTGTGTGTGTGTGTGTGTGATTGACACATTAGCTGTTAATCCCCTGTTAATCCTTGTGTTAGCAGCAGGCTCTGATTAGCCCCGCCCGCTGATCGTTAATTAACTAAATCCCTCATTACAGCCCGACGACAGAGAGCAGGCAGCTGTTAACGTGACAACTGTTACCGCGGATACCGCCTTCCTCTGGGCCCCCGACGTTGGAGCTTTAATAGAATGTGTGTGTGTGTGTGACTACAAACAAAGAAGCAGGTGAGATACTGAACGACTGTGATCATGTGATTGTTTCAGGCCCAGTTTCTTCTTCATGTTGTGTTTTAATGTTTAACGTTTCAGTCATGAAAACTTGATGAAGCAGAAGATTGATGCTGATGAATATTTCAGTGTGTGTGTGTGTGTGTGTGTGTGTGTGTGTGTGTGTGTCACCTGACTGGAGCTCCTCGGCTCTGAGCTGGTCTCAGTAGAACAGTGACGGTAGAGTCGGTCTGGTTCAGAGGAGACTCCTGGTCGTAGGCTGGCATCAGAGGAGCTGAGGAGGAGGACACTGTCAACGTCCCTGAATCTGTCTCTGTTTTAACACGTCTCTGTTGTTGTCTCTCTGTTGTTGTCTCACTGTTGTTGCATCTTTGTTGTTGTGTCTCTGTTGTTGTTGTGTCTCTGTTGTGTGTCTGTTGTTATGTCTCTGTTGTTGTGTGTCTGTTGCTGTCTCTCTGTTATGTCTCTGTTGTTGTGTCTCTGTTGTGTGTCTGTTGTTATCTCTTATTTTGAAGGATCCTACCTGAGATCTTGGTGGTGAACTGGGTGATCACTGGAGGTCCGAAGCCTTTCACAGTGGAGGCTCTTATTGTGAAGGAGTAGGTGGAGCCTGGATAGAGGCCGGTGAACATGTGGCTCGTCTCATTAGCCGGTTTGAACACCTTGCCACTCTGATTGGACAGATCGAACTCTGTGTCGAAGGAGCTCAGGGCTTTGTAGGAGATCTGTGGAGGAGAATGACAGTAATGTCTGGCTGCCTCACAAGGGATTGTGGGTAATGGAGTCTTTAATGTTATCCCCAACTACAGACAGAGGTCCAAGTGTTCAGGTCCAAACTGAAGTCAGGTTTGAATTTTATGAAGTTCTGTTCTAGTCATTGTGTAGTGTCTTTTAGGACTACACTACCCATCTACAAAGATCTCAGAGTCAGGAGTTGTCTGATTGGACGATTCTTACATCAAAGGATTCTGGGAGTTGTAGTCGACCAAGAGCGGACGTGTTTACCTCATACTGTCGGATGAGGCCGTAGGTCTGCAGAGGTTCCCTCCAGCTCAGACTGATCTGCTGCTCGTAGCTGCTGCCGAGGATCGAGTCCACTGGGACCGCTCCAGGAACTGGACCAGGAGAGACCAATAGAAGCTGAGTCTACTGAGTCTACTGAGTCTACTATGACTATTCTGTGAGTCTTACCGTCCTCGTCGGTCAGCACCAGCAGCTCCTCGCTCTCCTTGCGTCCCTCCGGGTTACTGAGGACGAGCCTCAGGCTGACGTTGGTGAACGGTGGAAGGTTACGTAAGGCATGCTGCGGCAAGGAGCTCAGAGTGTCGTACACCTCCTCCTCCCTCACCTCCTCCTTCACCAGCTCTCTGCAGGACAGGGGGAGGGGTTTATTCACCTGGTGCAGTTTACCTGGTAGTCCCCACTCTTTACCCCTGAGTGGTCCTGTCTCATGTTCACTGTAGCCCCTCCCTCTGTCTACCTAGTGGCCCCTCCCTCTGTCTACCTGGTGGCCCCTCCCTCTCTACATTCGTGGGGCCCCTCCATTCAATTGGCCCCTGACTGAGCATACCTCTTTGAGTGTACTTATTGACTCCTCCCTTTTCCTCACCTGTTGGCACTTTCTGTGTTCTTCTGAGCCCCTCCCTCTCTGTATCTGACGGCCCTCCCTGTGTTTACCAGTGCCCCACCCACACAAACACCCCTATAGTCCCCTGCTGAGTTTACCTGCTGGGGGCCCCTGCAGGTCTGTAGCGGTACTGCACCGTCAGGTTGTAGCTGTGGCAGCGTGTCACGTTGTATCCGAACGGCTCCCATTGGACCGTCACCTGTTTGGACTGAATGTCGACGACCTCAAGACGCCGCGGGCCGTGCATTGGATCTGGGACACAAACACATCACCACCACCATCACCATCATCACCATCATCATCATCATCACCATCATCACCATCACCACCATCACCATCACCACCATCACCATCATCATCATCATCATCATGTCTCTCTGTCTCTTTGTGTCTCTGTGGACTCAGGAGGACGTGTTAACTGATCCTGACCCCCCCCCCCCCCCCCCCCCAGCTTCCTGCAGTGAATTTTACCAGAAGCTGAAAAAAAACGAGCTCCAACTGAACAGAGACACAAAGAGAGAGAGGAGGGTGATAGGAGGAGATTAAAGGAAGCCTCGCACTGAGCACGCCCACACACACACACACACACACACACACACACACACACACACACACACACACACACACACACACACACACACACACACACACACACACACACACCCGCATTCTCTTTGTAGTGGCCAATCTAAGTGCTGTATTTCAAGATGACAGACAGCGATCCACTCGGAGAGAGAATGATAGATGAGAGCAGGAAAGAGCAATTTCTCCTGACAAAACCTCACTGTGTGTGTATGTGTGTGTGTGTGTGTGTGTGTGTGTGTTTTCAGGTGTTTTTCTGCAGCCAATGAACAATGGCTTTCCTGTTCTTTGTCGTCTTTCATTTGTTGTGTGTGTGTGTGTGTGTGTGTGTGTGTGTGTGTGTGTGTGTGTGGTCGATTGTGGCTGAAAACTTCTCTCTTCCTGTTACTGAGGCTCTCTCTCACACACACAAGCACACACACGCACACACACACACACAATCTGCAGGCTTTTAGTTGAACACAAAAGAGGCACTTGTGAGTTTTCTCTACCTCGATGATGCAATGAAAGAGAGACGTCGAGGCTAAATGGTCGATCTACAGGGAACTCTCACACACACACACAAAATGTAACATTGCCACAGCAACAATGGGGGTCGGGAGTAAAGGGGAGGAGGGGGAGGAGAGGGATTGAGGTGGATCCTATTACCCATAATCCCTGAGGGGAGAGTGAATGCTATCACATAAAATCCTACCATTCCTCCTGAATGTACCTGTGTGTGTGTGTGTGTGTGTGTGTGTGTGTGTGTGTGTGTGTGTGTGTGGGTGTGTGTGTGTGGGTGTCGTGTGTGTGGTCGTCATGGTTTCCATCCCATAATTTTTGGGCTGACATTTAAATCAGACACAGAGACAGAGCACCAGCTGCAGATGATGATGTCGTCCGGCATTTTTCCACCAAATGTTAAAAGAACTACAAACTACAACCTTGAAGAACTACATAAGGTCTTCAGGTACACTTCCTGTTTGGTTTGAACATGATGATGATGATGATAATGTGTCAGCAGCGTGTCACTGGAGCTAATTTAACCATTTCACATACGACTGCAACATATGATCACTTTGATTATTGATTAACCTGCTTCTATTTTCTATAATGAGTCCAAAGACTGAAACTAGAAGCACGTCTGAGCAGCAGAGATGTTGGATTCAAACACTTGGTCCTTCTCCTCAGAGTCCTGAGTCAGACCTTAACCACATGTATATCTGGTTGAGTGTGACATCACTTCCTGATGATGTCATCATCTCTGATGTCCCTCCAGAATAAAGCTCCAGAGAAACAGAGTCTGTAGAACTTCACTGAGAATCCTCCAGTTTTTAAGTTTCCTTCAGTATGACAGGAAAACATCATGATACACTGCAGACAGGAAGTGATCACAGCTGGTCACAGTTGATCTCATGAATGTTAAGGGACAGTCTGACTACACCTGAACTGATCCAGGTTAAATCTAATTAATTAATTAACTTATTAATTCTCAAATTATGACTAAAAAGTCTTTTGTGAGGTCACAGTGACCTTTGACCATCAAATTCTAATCAGTTCATCCTGGAGTCCAAGTGAATGTTTGAGACAAAGTTGAAGGAGTTTTGTCGAAATGAATGAAGCCTGTGACCACAGATAACAGTGTGTACAGATCACACATAATACAATACAATGGTATGAACAATAATAGATAATGATACTTGAAAAGCAGTGGTGACTTTAGATAGGCTGAACAAACATCAACATATTTACCATTAACTGACAATGACTGAATGATAATGCTGTGTCTGACCACGGTCATGTCAATAAAGCTTCTTTGAATATGACAGTGATGATGTAGAATCTAGCTGCCTCAGTGTTGTTCATCTTCCTGGCTCAGAGTCTGGACTGTAGTCGGAGCTCAGGGGAGAGGCGGGAACTTTGGTCTTTACTGACAAACAGCCTAAAGTTCACATACATTACCCTGTACGTCCACAGCTACACCGCTAACTGCGAGCTAACAAGCTAACTCTCTGCTCCGGTTGCCATCGTCAACGCTCACTCTCTCTCTCTCACTCTCTCTCTCTCTCTCTCTCAAGCTCCAGCCTTTATCAGCGGGACTCAGTCACACCCACGGAAATGACAGAAACGATAGAAACAATGGCTGGAAGTCAAACTCAGGTCACTTCCTGTTCACCGACACAGTCAAACAAAGACATTCACTTTTCATCACAAGTGGGTCCACCTCAGGTCCACAACAGGTCCACAGGGCTTGTGTTATCTTGTCTTGGTGTTGTGGGTGTTTTGACTCAGACTCATCTGGGATTTGGTCTGGACTGTGAGCTCAGTGTCTCTTTGGACTTGGACTCTAGTCTTCTTCAACACCTCTTGATCGTGGTCTAGAGCGGAACCTGGAAAGTTCCCACACTTGTCTCATACAGTTTTTCTTGGTTTCATGGAGGTCTTGACCATGGCTCAGATGGTCTAGACCTGTGATGTGGTCTGATGTGGACTCAATAACTCAAACTCAATAAAAACTAATTAATCATTGAATCTGTGACGATGATAAAAATCATTTCAGCTCTCTCTCTTTCTCTGTGTGATCCTCTCACTGCCCCCCTACCCCCACTCCTGACCTTTTCGGTGAACACGACCCTGACTGATTGAAACAGATTTCCAACATGACTCCTCCATTCACCCTGCTGACACACACACACACACACACACACACACACACAGACACACACACAGACACACACACACACACACACACACACACACACACACACACACACACACACACACACACACACACACACACACACACACACACACAGCTGCTGGTCTTTTGTTCTCAGTGAAAAGCAGGAAATTTCAACCTTTTAAATTTTTGCCATTGATTTAATAAGCCCTCTCTCTTAGTGTGTGGCAGTGTCTCTCGCCTCTCTCTCTCCTCCTCATTAATGTGTGATTTAGAGAACTGCTGTCAGGTTTTTATATGTCTCTCTCTCTCTCTGAGTTTCAGCTGGAATCATTGAAATGCTCGACTGTAAAAATCATTAAAGTCTAAATTGTGTTACACTTATCAACACACATGTACACACATGAACACAATGACTGGCACACTCAGTAATCAACCTCTGATAAAAATGACCTGTATGTATCTGTATGTACCTGTAGCCTATGTACTTGTATGAACCTGTATGTATTTGTATTTACCTGTATGTACCTGTATGTGGAGGATGCTGCTCAGATCATGTGTCATCACTGAGGTTCATGTTCTGTTGATGCTTCCTTGTTTAAATCATAATTATCTGTTGTAATCTGAGGCTGATTGGTTCTTCTGTCTGGGGGGCCTGTATAACATGGTGGGGGCCCGGGGGCCTCTGGTCTCCTCACTGTGAGCGTGTGGCTGAATATTTGTGGAATTCCTCAGGGTTTTATTCTTGGTCCTTTATATATTCATACATTTCCTCCTAAAGCATCTAGTTAAATATAGAAGTAGTTTCTGGTGTTTGAGGGATTCTGTAGACCCACGTTCTATTTTAAATGAGTAAATCTCTAATAGAGCAGATAAAAGGCTCATTGATTGAGTTACTGTAACAAACTTCCTGTCACACAGAACAGTGAGGGTTAGCAGCTTTAGATTCTGGATGGTCGGGGTAAATTTGACAGCGGGGTTTATTAGCCGGGTGGAGCTTGTTGCAGGCTGTTGGGAGCTGATAACAGACAAAGACAGTGAAAACAAACAAACACTGCTGAGGAGGAAGAGGAGGAGGAGGAAGAAGAATACATTACAGACATAGAGAGAGGAGAGCTGGATGTTTGAAGGTGACTTTAGGATGAAGGGGAAGACGAGGAGGAGGAGGAGAGGTTTAATTTTTCATTTCCAGGAGATCACCACATTTAATATGAGAGGGGGAGGGGGAGGGAGGGGGTGGATAGAGGGATGAAGAGGAGGAGAGATGAGAATCAGTGACGGATGATTCATGTTGGCTGAAAAGAACAGAAACAGAAACTGGATTTTATTAAGGAGGAGGTCTGAATTCCTGAAGTCTGAGTCCTGAAGCTGATTCTTGAAGTCTGAGTCCTAACGTCTGAGTCCTGAAGTCTGAGTCCTGAAGTCTGAGTCCTAACGTCCGAGTCCTGAAGTCTGAGTCCTAATGTCTGAGTCCTGAAGTCTGAGTCCTAACGTCTGAGTCCTGAAGTCTGAGTCCTGAAGTCTGAGTCCTAACGTCTGAGTCCTAACGTCTGAGTCCTGAAATCTAAGTCCTGAAGTCTGAGGATCTGCCTCTGATTATTCTCCTGTTTCAGCTGGTTTTATCCTTTAGTTTATTTCACTATTTTAAATCAGTGAGACGCAGTGAGAGAGACAGACAGATCAAATCAAAGATAAAAATACAAAGTAAAAGCTCTGAGACATGGTGGACGAGCAGAGCGTGAAAATCCGAGGTGAAAAGAGAGAGAGAGAGAGAGAGAGTGAAACATTCATGTGAGGTTTTTCTAAAAGCCTCGACAAACACCACACACACTTTAATGGATGTTAACACACACACACACACACACAAATGTTTTTATTTTTATGACTGATGCTCAGCTCAGCTCACACACACACACACACACACACACACAAACACAATTATTTTTATGACTGATGCTCAGCTCACACACACACACACACACACACACACACACACACACACACACACACACACACACACACACACACACACACACACACACAGTCTTTGGTCCAACAGTCCACATCTGAGGGTCTGGGTCTCAGCTGAGACCATTCAGAACCAGAGACCTGGTCACTGTGTGTAGGTTCGGGTTAGAGTTGTGGTTGTGATGTGACGACATCACAGGTGACAGACCCCTCCCCCCACAGGTACCTGGAACACAATTGAATTGAAGGGGGCCAACATTTAGCTCCTAGATCCGGTCTCCGGAGCAGGTGGTTCAGTTATGGCTCGACAAGTTCCCCTAGTGAGGCAGGTTAAACTGAGAGGAGGGAATCAGCTGTGTCCTGTTCACCCCCCCTCAGAAATAAAGGTGGGACACATCTTGGTGAAGCTGTCTTTCAGACGGGTCATCCTCACATTAAAGCTGAATATTAAATGATATAACTTCCTGTTTATCTGCTGCCAGCTGAGTCGCCTCCCTGAGCCCTGAGTCCTAAAGCTTGTATGATGGACACACTGATTCATTATTAAACACACACACACACACACACACACACACACACACACACACACACACACACACACACACACACACACACACACACACACAGAGCCTGGTCCATAATTTATTGGCAGTAAAATGAATAAATAAAAGTGAGTTGAAGACAGAGATGAGTGTTATCAGAGCATACATCATCACAGTATGTGACTGACACACCCACACACACACACACACAATCTGCAGGCTTTTAGTTGAACACAAAAGAGGCACTTGTGAGTTTTCTCCACCTCGACAATCGTTTTTAAACATTTCTTTTGTTTCCTCATGTTTCCTACTGTTGATCTCAGAGGAGCGTTTGCTTTAATCTGCTGTCAGTCTCAGAGGGGTGGAGATTATCACACTGACTGACTGGGTTTCTGATCTAGAACCCTACAACGTACTGAAGGGTCCTAAGAACTTCATAAAGGAACCCGGACCCTCATCAAAGAACAGTGAACTATCTCCTCACCAAAACATCTTCTCAAGCACCTCGTGAACCTTAGAACAATAAAAACTCACCAAGTACCAGAACATACTGTCAGAACACTACAACCTCACCAGGGATGTGGCTCAGCTGCAGTATGTGTTTAGGAGAACATACCAGAGACAGGAGAACCCTGTGAGCAGGTCTGACATGTTGGAACCTGACACGCGTGTTAACGTGTTCACACCTGGATCACACTGTTCATGTGTTCAGAGGAACATGTGTTCTACATTCATAATGTTTATCATTTGTAACATGTAGTTTACTGATGTTTACATGTTTTGTTTAAAGCTCATATCTTTATAAAACAAATCAACTAATGTATCATTATTAGTATTAGTACTATATATGAGGATAACATATAATAATGCATTCATATGAATCAATGATTAAAAAAAAAACTGCAGTAAAACGCTGAGACTGATACACCTGTGTAATTAGCGTGCTAATTGCTGATCACATGCTGTTTGTTTGCACCTACAGGCACACACACACCTGCAGCACTGTGTGTGTGTGTGTGTGTGTGTGTGTGTGTGTGTGTGTGTGTGTGTGTGTGTGTATGTTCACTCAGGAGATGGATGAGGTGAAAAGTTAGCATGCTATGCTGATGTGTTCACTGTACCCATTAAGAGCTAATTAGCGTGGCGCTAACAAAGCCTAGCCTGGCTCACTGCCTTAACGAGCTCACTGTTAACCATTAGCCACCTGATGTGCTTAGTGCTAACGCAGTTTAGCATGGCAGGCTACACTAATGACTCCACCATTAACCTCCTAATGAGCTCAGTGTGAGTGTAACCTAGCTGTTACCCACTGGCTGCTAGCAGGGATGTTGTATCAAAAGCATTAAATGATAAAGATGAAGTAAACCTTCATCATCCTCATCGACTGGCTGGAGGTTTTGATCATTTGACCTGACTCTGACTCACCAGCACACTTGGTCCTAGCTCGCAGTGGTGGTCCGGGGTTTCCCGTCCCTCCCTCCAGGGGCCTGGTGAGCAGCACACTGATCTCGTACTCGGTGTCGGGGTCCAGGTGTCCGATCTTATGGGTGGGTTTATCGACAGGTGTGGTGTCGATCAACATGCCCGCCATCGTCCGGTACTCCACCTCAGAAGAAACAATTGATTTGTTAATTAGAAACGACCCGTCTCTTAAACCTGCTCTGATCTGTTACACCTCACAAGGAACTACAGAACCACCACAAGGGTTCTATGTTCTCACTAAGACCCTACAATCCCTTTATAGACCCATAAAACCTCATCAACCCAGGACCTCATTAAAGACCACTGGAAACCACATACCCTTTGAAACCCCTCACAGATCCAGAGACTTTAATTAAAGGCTAAACCAAAGAACCACTAAAACAGACACACAGATCCCTAGAACCTCATCGCGGATCCTTAAGAAAACATACTGCACAGTAAAATCTCCTCAAAAATCCCTGGTGTCTCTTATAGGAAAACTAGAAACACCTTAGCTCCATGCTTAGTCCTAGCTCCATGCTGAGGACTCCTGGAACCTCGTCTAGGATAGGTAGAGTCTCCTCACAGATCTGTAGAGCCTGATTAAAAATAACTTGAACCCTATTACAAATCTCTCGAACATCATTACAATCCACTAGAACCTTATCAAGGACTCCTAGAGCCTCTTAACAGGTCCTCATTTAAGACCAAGTAGAACAGTTCTCATCCATAGTCACCTCTCTCTCAATGATTGGTCCGTCTCCGTTGATGGAGTTGGCGTTGAGCTGGATCCACAGGTAGGTGGCGCCCACAGCTGTTAGCTGAGGGGGGGCGATCGGTACAGGAGGCT